TTTCCAGTTCCTCTCTCAAACCGTGATCGAGCCCAAAAACATCCACATAACATAGTAATAATTTATCACTGTGTTTTTACACATTGGATTATAATAAGAGTGGAGTCTTCTACTGTTTCATCTTCATTTCTCTGTTCTTTCAACTTTTAAAAAAAAGTTGCAAACTGAGTTATCGGAATTTCACACACCTCTGTATATGATCGAAGCAAGTGCTCCGTCAAATACTTCCCATTTACTTTCGTATAAGTTGTAATATGTGTTAGAAGATAGGAGAGTTGAGTGCTGTGCACTAGCTAAGCATCAGAAATGTTTTCAGAAAAAGACTGTTAGCTCTTATAACTCTCAAAGGTCATACATAAAAAGTAATATAGACAGGTAAAATCCCTTTTCAATCAATATTTAACATTTCTTTCTCATTTTTTGCCAGCTGGAGTTCAAGCGGTGATGTTTGGCTTTCATAAGATTAGATCATTGTTTTAGGAGTCTAGTTCAAAGTGATTTCTTCAAGAGAACATGTAGTTGACTACCCATTTATTTTTAGCTATAACGACATGCATATGTTGAAAGCATTGCCTTCTTTCCTAAATAGACCATATTTTGATACCGTTCTCCTGAATTAACTACATTACAATGAGTGGTATTTTATGTATGCAATATCTCCACGGTCATTTATGAAAATTAGTGCCACAAGCTGGTAACTCATAATAATGCTTTTCACATTTGAAGAGGCAGCCTGCAATTATGAGAAATAGCAGTGTTGCGAGATGCCCTCGGTCATTTCACAAATGGGGCCTGCTGTCATTTGTAAAGTGATTGTTAAAAATTGTAATATCTAAGAATAGACGGGGGTGGTATTTAGTTTGATTGCATCATTCAGATGGAATAATACAGCAGCCTTCTTTACCCATCTACAGAATGTTTGTTTCATGCTGTTTGCGCTCCAAATCAGAACACCTGATTATACTGTATGAATCAAGCACTTGTTTTAAGGGAAAAATCTGGAAAGAGGAAAACAACGGAAAAAACAGTAGAATTGCTTTTGATAGATTTTCTTTTTATAGTTTCTAAATCTATATACTGTAGGTAATTGTAGTTTCCTTATTGTTGCTAAAATGACTTGATAAAAATACCATTCCCACAAACTGTCAGACCCAGGTCTCAGCTTTGATTTAATCTTTACAAAAGAAAGATTAAGTGTGAAACACTAACAATATTTCACGGATCTATTCTGTAAGACTTCTTATGTTCAGTGTTTTAATCCATCCAACACACAACCATGTATTTTGATATATGAATTGCTTTGCATAGTGTATAACACACCAGCATTATCACTGCAGTAACTACATTTTAACTCCAAGCTAATTATTACAGTGCCTTTAGTACATTTAATGTTTTACAAAGCATCTGATCTTTTTTTAAATCCATAGTTTAGCAAAGAGTGACCACTCCCACTTTATTGAACAGTATGTGCTGTTTGTAGTATTTTATTGGTTTCAGAGCTGGTTAAAGAAAACAACCTGTCCCCTGAGGTGTTCACTGCTATTGGTCCAGGTGGTTTGACCCTTGTATGTATGCACACTTAATGCTAATATGTTTCTAAGAGGCTGTGTTGGTTGCTTTCAAACATAAAAAAACAAGAGATTCCTATTTGACTAATCCCTGCTAGATCCCTATCCTGATAGGACTCAAATGCGCATTACCACTTAACAAGATCTGGTTATGCAGTATCTGGCTACTGATGTAAAAATGGCTGGAAGGAGTGACATCTGGGCTGGGGAGCAAATCACTCTCTGATTGTGCCCCTTTAACTGGTTTGGCTACTTGGTAGTCCCGGTGTTATTGGTTTTTTGCATTTCCGGTTCTCTGAGATGTAGAGAGAAATACTGTACTGTATGTTGCTGTGAACCCTGAATGGGATATCTTTTTTCTTTGGCAAGAACTATCTTTTAAAATAACTATTCATAATAAGTACTTTAATACTTTGAGTCCAGAAGATAATTTACAAGAAGATTAATACAGTATGTGAACCATTTGGAAATTGAAATCTAAATTGGGAATTATCTCATTGTTGCAACCTACAGTACAGATCTTCGGTGGTGTACATTCTTCTGCGTATTTAACTTTTTGCATGTTCTGTTTTCTGTATGTTATTCTTGTACATAAGATGCCTTCCAATACAATCGTTCACGGCTACATGGATTTAGATTTGGGCAGAAGCCAAGGCCAGCTGCAATCCAAGTAATAATAATTTCAAATCACTCAATCCTAAAAACAGCCCAGTGATGGTTGATATGACTGGCGGAGGAAAGAATGACAGTTTCAGTGGTACCAATCCACCACTCATTAAAAGCTGTTCTGTGTATATCATAAAAATCAAAGCCTTTTATTTAAGACCTTGTATAAGCAATTCTGTTTTGTTTTTTTCCTGAGTGCTTTTTATACATTATTCTAAAAATGTGCGTGCCGCTCATGGGCACCTTGGATACGCTCAAAATAAACCTTTTGTTGAAGAAATCTGTGGCAGAGAAGGGAGCTGATAGAGACGGCAAACATCAATTTGTCTCATATGAAGACACAATGAGAACAGGTGCTTCTGAGTGTGATAGGCTGACAATTACCACCTCCTTCAATGTGGTGCTGTGACAAATCTAACCATCAACAAAAAGAAAAGACTTCCATGCAATTTGCATGCGGTGCTCATTAGAAATCCGCCTTTCCTCATGCAGGACAGTGAGTCTTCTTCTTAATAATATTAGATTAGGTCAACTTTATTGTCCAATCAAAGGGAAGATTTGTCTTAGGTTTCCCCCATTACAAATAGTATAATTAATTAAAATAATTAAATATAACTCTTAAACTTTCTGACACCCGAAGAAGGTCCCCCCGACTGAAATGTTGTGTCTCTTTTCCTTTCAGCCTAGGATAAACCTTTACCTGTTCCTTTGCAAAAACCATTCACAACTTGCATTCAATGTTTGTGTGGAGTATGGGATACGGGATCTTTTATACACATTTTTAACAGCTCAGGGACTCTGAAACTTTGGTGAAAGCATCACAAACTAAGAATTCAGAGGATAGGAGGCATCTTAAGATATAATTCTTATATTATACGGTACCATACAATCCTATGCACCACACTATCACAAATGTCCCCCAGCTGTTCCTGTGGCTTGTGAATTTCATTCTCTGTAATAGTAACTATTGTTGAAATCTTTTTTCTACACTTCATGCTGTACCATACTCTTCCTGTAGCATACTGTTATATTAGAACAGTTTATCTGTTGTAATTCTATCCATTACAATGGATAGTCCTTCACATCCACAGCAAAACATTCAAAAATGAAAACTAGAATGATTTTATTTAGAACAATTTTTTTAAATGATTTTCCTTCCACACTCATTAAAGTAAAATAACAGGCTAACATTTTTGCCTTTCTTTCAGAATGCTGACTAGAATAAATCTGCTGTTAAAAGATTTGCAGTAATTTATATTCTGTGAGAGATGCCACTTCTATTCTCTGTGTATTGTGACCCTGAGTGTTCCAGCTTTCCTTTCTTGTCCAGATAGCCATTGAAATATGAAGCTGATAACAGGTCCTGCTTTTGTTGCCTAGCAATATGTATTGACTGGAGCTGGGGCTTGCTGATAGGGGAGATTAGCAAGACCTAGATAAAGTCTCTTTATTGATGGCTGAATGCTTATCTTAATGCAATATAATTCTGTCAAAAAACAGCAGCCATTAGTTCTAAACAAAATTTAAAGGCTTACAAGAGGCCACTGCTATAAGGTTGGTGTCTGGGTGGTGATAGTGGTGTTTTCGAACCCATTAGAAGCATACGTATTTTAGCATGCTTCCTATTGCTTTATGCACTGTTTTTCATTTTTAAAACACTACCTACAGGAGAAAGAAAATGATAGCCTTTTTGGAGAAATAAATCTTTTTTTGACCCAATATATGGTCTTAGAAAGATGAAATTTTCATGTCCTTTTGGAGCCAATTCCAGAGATTGTTAAGTTGAACGCTCAGTTATTGAGTGTTCATAGCAAGGAATCGTTTTATGCAGCATTTCTAGATAGCTGCTTGCTAATTTGAATAAAAAAGAGAAATGAAACCAGCTGTTCTCAGTACTGGACCTGAGGCACCCTGCGTCTTCTGGTTTTTGTTCCAGATGGGCCTTCAGTTAGTGTTAATTTGTGCCTGTAAACTGATATGCTTAGCCATTTATTCCTGCACTCATCCTTGGGTTTAACAACACCCTGTAGTAGCTAAGGAAAAAAATTTTTTCCTGCAGCTTTAGCATATATGCCTTTGCAGAGTTTCTCTCCAATGAGCTACTGAATAATTTGCTCACTTATTTGTAACAAAAAAGTCAGAAGTTGACATTAACAGGCAAACACACACAGATGGGAATGACAGCGACGTTCCCATTGAGCGTAAAATTATTGCATGTCGTGCACAATTTTTTCATTTGCCTGAGAAAAAAATCTTTGAGCTCTCTCTATAATCAGATTTAGCATCCCACTTGAGATTGTTGGGATTGATCATGCCAAGAAGTTACAGTTCTGTAAATATGAGTTACCTCAGGATAAATGCATCTGCGATCTGAATTAAAAAATGACTTAATTTAAGTGATTAACTGAATGGGATGTCCTTGAAACAATACAACTGACTGAAAACTTCCTTTTGAACAGTTTTCTGTAAAATTAATCTGATTGTGTAATGAGAAACCATGAACTATTGTAGTGCTGTAACTACGGAAATAGTTGCTATAAGATTTACTACATTCAGGAAATACTTTGTGAAACAAAATGTAAATGGCATTTGAAGGTTTTTTTTGCTAATGTAACTATCTAAAGAGGTTGACAGATGCAGCTGCAATCCAACTTGTTCGCACCGTACAGCGCAAAATATCTCAAGTAAGAGAAGAAAAACTTACAAATGTTCCTTTGTTGCTGTGGTCTGTCTCGGAACTGAGAGTGTGTGGGTTTCTCTTTGCAGACGGAGTGTTTGGGAGGTGTCAGCGAGTTCCGGTGATAGACGTCTACAGATACGAAGTTTCACCAGCTGCTCTGCAACGCCTTCGGAGCCTCCTTCAGAAACTGTCACAGCGAGGTACAGTGTAGCATGGCATGAAATTCATCTTCACTCTGTATTAGGGGGTTGCTTTTCTTTAAACGTCAGAATCTCTCCATGCAGAAGGGAATGTAGAGGACCTTGGCCAGTAGTGTACAGTAGGTGAACTGGGAAAATTAAAAGATTTTCATGAAGTCCTCTGTGCTCACCACGGATTGCATCATAAAATATTGACATTCTTTAGAAAGGCATTCAGTACTAGAGTACGTGTCCTGCAAGGATGGAGTGCCAGTGTGAAGTGTGATGCAACTTGCAGTAGGAAGGATTACCCATTCAGTCTTATGTAAATTTGGGTTATTTGACTATCACCTGAAAAAAAAGGGTTATTTTGCTTCCACGGGTGTTGAGATTGCTGAAGATATGATATTGATGAGAGCATGGTTTTGGAGCAATGGAGGTAGTCCCAAGACCCCACTTAAAAATCCCACTTTCGCTTTGCATAAAAATATGCAAGGCAAAACCGAGAGCGAGAAATGTTCAAGGGGGACCACCCCTCCCATATACCCATTGAGAGAAACAAAAGTATGGGGGGACAGCCAGCATTATTAGAGCTTGAACAAGTACTGTAATACCAACTCTGTTTATCATCCTACATGTTTCACAAATCAGAAACTCAAACCTCTTGCTTCACCTTGAACATATATTCTTATCAATTCTGGAGTAAATTTCCCTTTCAGCCTTGTTATTATAATGTTAGGTAGGAGGTCACTTCTTGTGATGAGCTGAGTTCTTTAGAAATCCTGTGAACGTAAAAGGAATTGATTTGGAGCTGTGTCTCATTAAAACTTTGAAGAACAAAAAATCAATTCAGTTCTGCTATTTTTCTCGATAACCCGGTATGTTGGATACATCTGGACAATGATAACAGAAAAATATGTATTGTAACAGAAGAATAAGAAGACCAAAACATTGTGAAACATTTATCAGTTTATTTTGTATTGAGGTAAAACAGGATGGTCTAGCTTCAGTCCTGGCAGACCAGTGTCTGCAGTTTTCCTTCCATCTTAATTCCTAATGATCTAAATCAGATGATTCTGGTATTGTCTTAATTGGGACAGTTTACAGTGTCTCCTCCTCGCTCTTCATGCACTGCTGCTACAGTATAAAGAGACCTAGAAAACCTGCAGACATACTTGCACTCCCGAAATAGGGTTGGACAATTCTGGGTTAAATTATTAAAAGTCTAGGCACAAGTACAAAGCTGTCATCTCAAATGGTCATAATATTTTTTCTGCTGATACACTGTGCTGTAAACTACTAAAATGTTAACATTTTCCCATTGCATTTGATGAATAGTGATCAATTATACCAGAATGCTGAGATATAACCAAGACATGCACCTGCTCACTAAAGTTATTAAATTTACTCTGTTCTCTTCAGTTTTCCTGTATGAAATGCTGCTTCAGTTTGGGACATCAGCTAATTTTTTCGGGAGCAAGTCCAATCTGACCTACCAGTGAGTCATTGGATACCGTTTTTACTCCACAGTCAACAAAGGTCTATAGTAGAGGACATTCTGTGCTGCATTTCTGAGTTTGTGTAGTGTACATAATCACATTAAGACTCGTTTTTGTCTAGTGTATTAGCACATTTCATTTAATTAGTGTGTTAAAATGGGATAACTTACAGATCCTCCTAGGTCAACAGGACTTTTTCTAAATCTGCTTACCTCCCAGTAATGTAATGCAGTGTAAGTTTAAAATACTCAGGGAAATTATATTTTATGTATAGGAGGGTGAAGAATCCATCAGGGTCATGTACTAAATTTAAATACTTTAGAAATCTGGTCAGAGATGGACTGGCATCCTGTCCAGTGTGTACTCTGTTGCTTGGGTGGATTAGAGAACTCATAGAAAAGCGTAGTTACCTGTTCCTAGCACTTCTACTTCTGTGTTTTGGTTACGGTAGTTCTATATTAAAAATGTGAAATGACAGCTGGCTTTAAAGTTCAGTTCATCAGTTTACTACTTACATTAACACATCAAAACGTCATAAGTTTTTTTGTTGGTGCTACTGTGTATGCGACACATCATGAATCTATTGTTCTTGTCTGGTTTTAAAAAAGAACAGTCTGTCACTTTCCAGTTTTGCTCAGAATACCATACATAATCTGCATAATGTGATGAGTCAGATACTATTTTCTCAAAATGAAGATCCATTGTGAAGAAAACTCAGTTTTTGCTGCCAGAAGCTCATTTTGAAGAAAAAAAAACTCTTTGCTCAAAGAATCAAGTTGTTTCAGAAGTATTTACTGTACAACGAGTGATAACAATTTGTAAGATTACTTATTCTATCAGAGCCATAAGAAAATAATAATTCCTTGCATTCATATAGCACTTTTAATCAAAAAGCATCACCAAGTGCTTCACAAATACTGTATGCTGTATATAGAAAGGAAATAACTTGTCAATTTGTGAGGTGCCCATAGGGGTAGCATACCACTTCATGTAGAGAAGTAATTAATCATTTCACCAATTGTACTGTGGGGGGACTTTTCTGTAAACCAAATTATATAAAACTATAGTAGGATCTAGCCAGGATACCAGGGTTAACAATCACTATTTCAAAAAGTGCCATGAATCTTCAAAGCCTAAGTAGTCAGAAGTTTAGTTTAATATCTCATCCAAAGGATGGAATCTCTTACAGCACAGTGTCCACAGTCATCTTACTGGGGTATTGATGTCAGAATTACCGGGCAGATGGAAGAGCTATACCTACTGGTTTATCAAAAATTGTAGTTTATTAACCTACTGGTTTATTTTAATATTGTAGTGCTATACATAAAACTAGAACACTTTCCTATGACAATCGGGTCTTTACTAGGTCAGCACTTTAATAGGTTAGTGCAGTGGTTTTAGGGGCACGTCTCTGAACATAGCTGTCATTTATTTTTAGTTGAATTAAGACCCTAGTGGGAAGCAGGAGCATAAAAGGCTTGAGAAACTGTCTTAAAGTGTTTCAGAGCATCTGTTAAAAAGAAAAAAAAAAACATCTGTTCCTTCACATGACAAATGAATTAAAGTTTCTTCCAGGTTTGTCTTGTGCGTGGTCATAAAAACATCTAGTAGTGATTTTCACTGTAGTGATCTGGTGTGATGACTAATGAATTTAGGTAGTCTAACTTGTACTTTGAAATAATTGTAAATATATATATATTAGATTTTTCCCCTAACATGGCTTATTTGCAGTTGCTGGAAATAGTAAAAGTGAAGGAAATATGTAGTGCATTTTACTGTAGTCATATCACCGGGAAAATGAGGCATATGTGCTACATTGAAAAATCTGTTAAGAGTATTACAGTACATGTACAGGTATGTTGTCCGTTAACATAGGTTCTGAAGCCTACAAAAGGTTAACATTATTCATAAAATAGAACAAGGGTGACAGACAGCAAATGTACCGTTTTTTCAAGAGTGCATTTGTTATGATTGAATGTCTTACCTTGGTACTTTCAAAGCCACAGTTAATTGAGAAAAACAATGTCATCTGGAAGGGATTTTAAAAAATGTCAATAACCTCTAAAGAAACATTGATTGTTTTTAGAAAAAATAAAAGGCTGAAGGCTGAACATTCTGTACATGCAGACATACTGTCATATGAAAGTGGTTTATATCTAAATTCTGAAACTCAAACTCAACTATCCCTTACAAGCCAATTAGAAGTCTCTGACTTCAGATTTAATAAACAATATTATGTAATGGCAAGGATTACCCTTTTATTCTTTCCAATTACCAGCAAGACAACATGATCTTAGCAGTGTCCTGTCTCATTTGACATTGTATGGCTTGTTATCTAAACAAATCGCTAACCCAAATGTGTTTTCCATGGAGGCTTTACCCTAGGGTGTTTTGAAGACTCTAATGAGCAATACTCCTAGGCTTTCTTACCTAACTTAACATTGGTACAAATTTGTTCAAAGCTGCTGAAAATTAAGATTTGTGAAACCATTGAAATGATTTAGAAAAGAGCAGTGTTGGTTTTCAGCAATCAACTTGGCTGTTACCATTTTAAAATAAAACTCCTTCCAAAGGTATTAAGACATCAAAGTTAAAGCTTTGTCCTTGATGATTGTCATGCTGCATGGTGAAGTGCCTTGTGATAATTAAGGAGGCATTTTCTTCTACATTAGCAGACACTAGCAGTTATTTCTGCATTAGGAAATGTTTCTGTAATCTTGAGAATTCAGTCCGCTGTAGCCATCATTTGTTACGTAATCAATAAACGTGACTGAGCCAGTCGCAGAGACAGCCATGCAAGGCCTGGCCATGACACCACACTTCAGAATTCATTCAGAAATTCAAAGATCAACCACAAGCAACTTTGTAACTACTGTAGGTTTTATGGACGGATGAGATCCAAAATAAACCTTTACCAAAGTAATGGAAAGATTAATATGTGAGGAAAGAAAGGACCTGCAGGTGCTCCAAAGAATACCACCTCATCTGTGAAACATGACCTGAGCTTGCACAGTATGGCCACTTCTGGAACTGACTTATTGATTGATGTCTTCACTGATGGTGTAAATGACGTGCTTAAATTTTGACATGTACACATACTATATAGTGAGCTGCAGGGGACAAAAATCTGTTATTTGTCCATTCAGATTGTGCTGTGAGTCAGTTTGACCTGAAAAAAACATTTAAGGATCCTTTAGAATGAAACATGCTGCACAAATGTAAGGTACTATAATATTCCTTTCACCAAACTGGTTGTCCTACACTTACGCATCAGAAGGGACTATTTACTGCACTGCCCTTGAAGCATTTCTACAATATATCCAAAAAATGCTTGTGTACCACATTTTTAATGTATAGTATAGTGCAGTATTTCCCGATTGGATCATCAACCATTAATGATTGTGTTTTCAAGGGATGTACAACTAGTGTACGTTTATTTACAGTGACAGTTGTTGTATAGAAATGATTAATACAAAACCTTCAAGGCCTTTATCCCTTTTCTGTATCTGGTATTTTGCTGAA